ACGCGACGCGGTCTCGCGGCCGCTGGTGCAAACGACTCTGTAATTTAGGAGCCCTGTATGTCCTCCTACACCGACATTTTTTGCATCGAGATTGTGGGAAAGCGGAGAACTGGTAGAAGTGGTGGAGACGCGGTGGTATGGAGTTTTTGGGTATTACTATTACAAAAGTTCTGGTGAAGGCAGAGGCGCCAAGAGCAAGGCCGCGATTAAAAATAAAAATACTTTGAACCTCTAAGACACAGGAAAGTGTAATTTCACAAATCTTCTCTTCATTTGTCGAACATGATATAATTCATAAAACATATGCAATTCAATTTCAACCATGTAATACGCATGATGATCACCTGCTACAGTCGAGATACCTTTGCTTTAATACACGTCGCTGCCTTACATAGTGAAAAGTAAACACAAATTCGTGAATTAATGGTTGCTTCCATGAGCTAATAAACAGTATGGTCAATATAGTCCTGTATACATGACTGATGAAAGATGTTCAGAATAAACCTCAGACAGACAAATACTTTTTTCAAGTGCTCATTTGTACAGAAGAATGTTAATCACCAGTAGGTGGGACATCGAGGTAGCAGTTTTCTTGCATCGTAACGCCTTAGTATAACCATCCCCATCGCCAACCTAAATTGTTGAAATTTTGATTGACTAACTCAACGTACTGCGAGAAAATCATTACCTCTTCCAGCCCAACCATAACCATGTGGCCACCAGCCTGAAACGCGTATACTATTTTTAGAGTTTCATATTGAGAAAACACCTTAGTAATGATAGATATACAAAGCTACATCGACAGATGATAGTTTTTTGTACTTTATCTGCGAACATCCTTACCTCTTGCGTGCCATCCTCCATAACCATAGCCACCCCAACCCCAGGGGGTTCGGCCGCCCCAATTGCCGGAGTTGCTGCCCCATCCTCCTTGAGCTAAATCTGTGCACTTATTCATACAGAAAAGGTCTGAAATACTCTCACCTCCTCCTTGCCACGTGCTTCCTTGTTGTACACCATAACCTCCTTGGCCTGTAAATAAATTCAAGGTTATATAAAATTCATTCACAAAAATTACCTTCGCCTCCTCCCTGCCACGCCCCGCCTTGTTGTCCACCATAACCTCCTTGTCCTGTAAATGATTCAGAGTTTTTGAAACAGTTGCTTGCGCGCTAACCTCCGTTTCCGCCTTGCCAGGAACCTCCTTGTTGACCACCGTAGCCACCTTGGCCTTAACTTGTAAATGAATTGAAAGATATGCACGAAAATTCATAAAATTACCTCCGTTTCCGCCCTGCCACGAACCTCCTTGCTGGACACCGTAGCCACCTTGGCCTTGACCTATAAATAGATTCAAAATCATGGCGAAGATTTATCTATTAATTACCTCCGTTTCCTCCTTGCCACGAGCCTCCTTGTTGGACACCATAGCCTCCTTGAGCTTGGCCTATAAAGGCATTCGAACTTATGTAACTTATGAGAATTCAACAAATTACCTCCGTTTCCTGCTTGCCATGCGCCTTGTTGTCCACCATAGCTTCCCTGACCTAAATGGCAGAAGTTCGCATAGAATTCAATATGCAAAAATTACCTTGTCCTCCTCCTTGCCAATTGGCCCCATATACTCCACTTCCTCCAACTTCCCCTTCACCGACCCTTTGCGG